TACCATTTACGATGAAAGCGGTACATGGGAGACCAAAAAAAAATGAGCCTGATGGATATCACTAAAATGTTCTCCATGCTCCAGCCCAGAGAAGATGAAGACGACAACGGAGAAAGCGAGGAGCTGAACCGAGCAGTATCCGAGGACAATTACCAAACCCTAGACAACCTCTTGTCCCAAGACAGGTACAAGAGGTTCATCAACCGCAGGAGCGGCTGGGGCGTACCCAGCACCCCACTGCGCCTGGCCGCCACGTGGGGCCGGGTCAGGAGCATGAAGGTCCTCTTGGCCCACGGGGCGGAGGTGGACAGCCTGGACGTGAAGGCTCAAACCCCGCTCTTCATGGCGGTCAGCAACGGCCACCGGGAATGCGTGAAGGTCCTCCTGGACGCGGGGGCCAGCCCCGTCGGCAGCATCTACAACAACTGCTCACCGCTGCTCATCGCCGCGAGGGATGGGAATGTGGACATCCTGCAGCAGCTCCTGGACCACGGCGCGGAAACCAACGTTCAAGCGAGGCTGCCCGAGTGGGCTGCTAACTCGGTGGCTTGTTCCGGTCCCCTCTACCTCGCCGCAGTGTACGGGCATCTGGAGTGCTTTAAGATGCTGCTGCTTTACGGCGCCGATCCCGACTACAACTGCACCGAGGAGAGGGTGATTGCCCAGATCAAGGAGCCCAAGACTCTGCTGGAAACCTGCCTGAGGCACGGCTGCAGGAGCAAGTTCATCGAGCTGCTCATTGACTTTGGAGCCAACGTGTACTTGCCCAAAATCACGGCAGATGACACGGTACCCCGCAGCGAGGGCCTGGAGCTGCTGCTGCAGGCGAGAGGTGATCTGCGTGCGTGGCCCCAGGGCTGGAAACAAGCACTAATCTTGCTCATTTGGGTGCAAGTTCCCTCAGATTCCCCTTCCCCTTACCTCTGCTTCCACTAGCCTTACCCAGGCTTTCCTACGAGCTTCGACTCCCTTTGCAGCATCACTTGAGTGCATGGGTCTCTAGGCTTAAATTCTGGAGTATTATCGCTATTTTACTCTGAACTCTTGTTCCTCCCTCTCCCCCAGTGATTGCTGTGTTCAGGCAAAAAAACCCAAGTCTCCAATACTGAACACAGCAAGAGAAGGACGTCACAAGGTTATGGAGAATAGGTCCACCACCGGTGATTAAATCTGATGGCTTGGATACACATGCCACCGCAGGAAACTCCTAAAACAAATTGCTGGGATTTGGGGGAGAATGTCACGGGAGGGCTTGTTTCTAATAAATATCCACCAAATATCCCCAATTTCCACTGCTGGCTGTGGCTGGAGGCAGGCTACTTTGTTTTGGGTCTGGCGTGTGACTCGGCGCAGCCGCCACGTACATTTACGTGGTTATCTTCCCTCTTGGACTCACCGCAGCGTCTGCTTTTCATGAGTATTTCTAGACGCTTGCTAAAGAAGCTGCTTTCAGCGAGGGTCCTCACTGCGGTCGGTGCTGGCCTGGAGCACGCAGGGATTTCCACCGCCTGGTTTTTCCACTTAATATAAATCTGTTGGGTTAAAGGCCGCTTTTCGCCATTCCTCTCCTTTCTGCTGCTCAGCTTTGGCTCTCCTGCGCTGCCTATGTCCAGGAAAACCGCACTTAGTGCCGCATGATGGTGGAAGATTTCATCTCTGTATGCCCAGCTCCCATGAAACACACGCTGCAAAGCTTGTGGCTGAATACGCGGCGTAACCAGCCCTAGCAAAGACATTTAGTTTTGGTCCATCGATGTCCCTTTGCTTAGGGTAACGCCCGGGTTGGAGGGGAGCGGGGTCGTGTGTCTTGAGGGTGACCATCTCATTTTTTCCCCCCCCTCTTTACGCAGCTCATCCCAAGTCCTTGATGTCTCAGTCCAGGCTGGCGATGAGACGCCTCCTGAAGCAGGCTGGCCGCCTGCACGGCTTCGGCGAGCTGGATATCCCGACGGTCCTGACGAACTACCTCCGACATCAGCCGTGACGCGCAGCCCACCGTGAGAGATACCTGCCCCGTACACGTGTCGAGCACCCGAATTAAAAGCCGCTCTGACATCTGCCCAGTGTGAAACCGCCGTGAATTTGTGGTCGCAAAGTAATTTTCGCTTATGAGGTGTCTCCAGAAAGCGGTGCCCGTGCCAAGAGATGGCAAGGGAAGGGGGGAAAAAACAGAGGAGACCTCAGCTCCAGCTCCGCATGAGGGTGATGGTAGAGCAGGATCAGATCTAGCTGCGTTTGGCTCTAAACCCTCTTTACTGAAGGATTTTACACCTTTTAATTGATACTGGTTGGAGAAGGGGCTGGGAAAAGGCGTGGAGGGCAGAGGGAGAGGAGCAAAGGCTGCTTTTGCCTCCGCGGGAAGGAGGGAGGCACGACCGGGCTTTGTGCCTGTGGGTTTCCGCCACAGCAGAGGTTTCGAAGTGCCTCCTCCCTTCGGCAGCCCGGCGAGGGCAGAGGGGAGGCTGGACCCGGCCGGGCGTGCCCAGCCCATCGCCGCTGCGTCACCGTGCCTGGGGCGCTCCTGGCCCCGAGGACACGTCGGTGCAAAGCCCAGCGCTCCCAGGTGGCAGCACAGGCAGGGGCTGGGATAAGTACCCGGAGGCCAGAGCCCCCACACTCCCCGACGCTCGTCTCCCTGCCCCAGCTCTGTCTTTAAACATCATCTCACTCGCCTCCAAAGTGGTTCGTGTTATGGCCGAGGCATCTTTTGTGATTGGGCAGGTTTTTTGTTTTTGGTTTTTTAATTAAAAATGTTGCTACCATTCTTATTAAACTATCATCTGTATGAGATTCAACAAGGCCAAGGGCCGGGTCCTGCACTTCGGCCACAACAACCCCATGCAGCGCTACAGGCTTGGGGAAGAGTGGCTGGAAAGCTGCCCGGCGG